TCTTGATATCTTTGAAACTGTTGCCGTGGCGACGCATCAAACTTTACCCTTCTTTTAGGATGCTTTTAGGATGCTTTTGAGACCTTAGCATGCTTCAAAATGCATGAAACTCGACAGACACATCAACATTTATTAGCCAGTAGACATGTGGAAAAGTTTCAGAAACGGGCGTGGTGAGGGCTCAGTAGCGCCACCTTTTGACAAAAGTGGGGTTGTTAGTTTTAACTAAGAGTTACAAAAATTGGTATGTATATTGTACTCCTCGAGTCGGACAACTTTCTAATTTACACTTATTAGCTAGGACCCACAGAAACTCAGATATTTTTGTTTGAATATGGTCACTCTGAGCCTATATGTCTCTGTGTCTCTGTTTCTGGCTGTCTGTGTGTGTGTGTGAGTGTGCAGGGGGAGGGGGCTTAACCATTTCACTGCTGTGTGTGTATGACCTGCATAAAGAAAATACATTTCTCAAGCCTGGTATTTTTTAAATAAGTTTTTATTTTTATTTTTTATAAGTAAAGGCATATATACTAGTTTAATTGTAGTGCATTGACAATAGTTTTATATAATTAGTTTATTAATCAGATTAACTTGTCAATAAACTTGGTCTGAAAATTTGGTCCATAAATCAAAACACTTGCATGTAATAATATGAAACTCGGTACACATATAGATCTCATCGTTTCATATATAGCCTACTTCACACTCTTACTTTTTTACCCCAGCCCAACAGGAAGACGGCTATTTAGGGTTGTGTTTTAAAACACATGCAATGGAATTTCAAGTATTGCTCCTAGAGCACTGAACCAAATTCGACAAAACTCGATCAGCGTGAAGTCAAGACATTAAGGATGAAAAGGTGCCAATGGATTTTTTATATCTCGAACGGTTGGCCGTGGCGAGGAAACGAAATTATGGCGAGAAACATGAAACAGGATGTGTGTGTTATAACTTCAGCATACATTAACTGATCTTGATGAAACTTCAGCAGTGTTTTCGCTGTAAGAGACCGATCACATGGATGTGACTATTGTGAAAAGTTATAGCGCCACCAACTGGCAGCAGGAAGTGTGTCACTTTCAAAATGCTTTGAAACCACTCTCTTATTTTTAAACCGATTTGCTTCAAACTTCATCTGTATAATGTAAATACACGGCAGATGCAGACCTGGTGAAAGAATTTTTGATATCTTTGATACTGTTGCCGTGGCAACGAATCAAACTTTAACATTCTTTTTTGATGCTTTTGGGACTCTTAGCATGCTTGAAATTGCTTGAAACTCAACAGATACATCACATTTATTAGCCAGTAGACATGTGCAACTATGGCAAAATATTAAAGTAATGTCAAAAAAGTAAACACTAAAAGCCTCATATCTTCTAAAAATGTAATTATACATCATTTGTTTCTAAATTAAATTATACAAATATTATAACTTCCCCAATTTTTCCTTTTTTTCATTTAAGAATTATGTTTACATTCAAAAACAGCCAGAATTGTAGTAAAATTCATAAAAAAATAATAATCTGAGTCATACGTAGTGCTATACTGCCCTCTTGTGTTCAATATCAGGTAGGCCTATTGTGTATATTCCCACCGGTTAATCAACGTGTGACTCCGCTGGGACTTGGGAGCTTTTAAATCGCTTACTTACAACCGAAAGTCGAAATACGGATGTCCGCACAAGACATTAATGGTGTGGAGTAGAGCGAGCATTTTAAATAAATTCCTATTAAGTAGGATTGAACTAAACAGAAAGAATGTTCACTCTGTTCTGCTGGTTCCTCGCTGGTGGATCATATGATTACTTTGTCATAATCTATGACAAAAATGCTATTATAAACCAATTAATAATAGATAATACACATTGCTCTTATTTTTGAAAAATACATTCATGAAAAACAAGATAACAAAAAATAAAAACATATAGCCATGGCTGCTATACATGTTTGAAATGCATAGGACAGATGTTTAATGACGCAGCAACATATAATTGAAAGGCAATTATAATCTGTCATTACGTCACTGCATTATGATATTACGGCTCCAATACGGTGCAGCACAAAGCACTTATGTGCATCCCGAGCGGAGAATGATGTGCTTGAAGCCACATGAAGTTACAGCGCAGTGAGTCCGTATTGAAAAGTTCAAAGCACAAGGAAATACATATTTATGAACAGTCTATTATACATTATCTATCTATGCAATAGTTTATTGAGCCTTTTCTTTTAAAGGTTTTAAATTTCAGTTTACTGTGTGCGTGAAGAACAATTATAGTGCTCTGACTCTAGTGTTGTGATCTAACCGACAGCGTCCGACACCCGGTAGAAAGTAATACGATTAAGTTACAGCAATAAAGTCCAGCAAGAAAAAGTTTCTTCATTCGAAAATATAGACCTTTAGACCTTTATCTTAAAGATCCAGTATAATAGGATTAACATTCAATCATCTGAAGATCGTTTCATCATTGACTGTAACCGAATGTGACGTGCTGTTTGAATGCTGAATGGAGAATGACTGACAGGCGCAGAGAGGGAAAAGTTTGTGTTCTTGAATTTAATGACTTAAATATTAATTTCTATATCACATAGCTTCAGAACACTAATAATACAGTACACAAAAACTTTATGGTACTTTAGAAAGTTTTTGTGCCTTTGTGCCTAACATAGAATAGTATATGCACAATATAGAATTTGAATCAGCCTCGTCAAAGATGGCAGTGTCAGAGCCGATACCGATCCTGAGTATCTAATCGGCGCACTTCTTTTCAACAGTCAAATTGAAATTGAAATTGCTTGAAACTCAACAGATACATCACATTTATTAGCCAGTAGACATGTGCAAAGTTTCAGAAACGGGCATAGTGCAAGGACTAAATAGCGCCACCTTTTGACAAAAGTGGGGTTGTTAGTTTTATCTACAGTTACAAAAATCGGTATATACATTGTACTCCTCAAGCCGGACAACTTTCTAATACATAGTCATTAGCTCGGACCAAGAGGAAGTCAGATATTTTGGTTTGAATATGGTGAGCCTCTCTCTGAGCCTACGTCCCTGTATGGCAAGCCCTTTTAACATTTAAAAGCTAAGTTTGCCTGTCCGGAATTAACATTGTAGATATCATCAACGTCTTTCTGTCTATTCGTAATTACATCTTGGATAGTTTGTATTATCATTTAAGATATCTGTAACATAATTGTGACTAGTTGAAATGACAGAGTATGGCAAGCCGTTTTAACATTTAATCATAAAAGGGCCAAAGCCTTCGGCACCGCCACCCGGGTGCATTTGGGTAACTAAAGGAACCGGGGTTGCGGTGCCACCGGCTTGGGCCCGCCATCGCTGCTCGCAGCTATATTTATATTTGTCTTTTTTGATGTTTTATAATGCTGTTTTTTGTTTTATAATGACGGGTTAATAAAACAGTAGCCTATTATTTTTCAATTTTTGATTTATGTTGATGTATGTCATTGCACCATTTATGTTTCAACCAACAAGTCATCTTGATTTTTATCAATATTTGTAACAAACACATTGTTTAAAATGAAAAGTCAACATGAAACAACATAGGTTTTCAACTCTTTTTACATCTGTAATAATGAAGCAGGATAGTTAAAGTAGAAACACCAGGGTAGTTCCCAGAAAAGTAAATGTTCCCCTTGGGTCATGTTTGTTCCTGGTAGCATTTTCACCGCCAATAGGAACTCTGAAGTGATGTATACCACTCTTGTTGCTGTGACTTTTATTTTGACTGCGCTGAGAACGGCAGAGCCTGAGAAGACAACACTCCCATTTTCTGTCTTCATTTCCTTAAGATTTGTTTAACAGTTCCGTATAATACGTTACTAGATAAAACTGTTATACAAAGAAAGTAGACAGTATATGAACAAGTATAAGCCTTTGCTGTGTGGTTGATGCCAAATGTCACTTCTGAGAAGAAGTAGGCTATAATCTTTGTGTACACAACTTGTTTTTTTTTTTAATTGCGGGTGCTGTTGTTTCAGGTGCGTTCGGCCTATCAGCATACACTTAACGTCACAGATAGTTTCTATAGTGCTGGGTTAGACCCTACTTCCTCCAAAAGACGTTCCTCGTATTAAATCCTGGTAGTGCGAACACGCCAAAAAGTGGATACTGCTGCCATTAGTTCTAGGAACTATGAAAAGGTTCCTCCAGTGCAAAAGCCCACATTTCAATGAAGTTAGTGTTATGACATTCATAAAACACAAAGATACATTCTTACTGTTCAAACAGCCAAGGTGTGACCATTTAAAAAAAACAATACATTTTCCCCAACATATTTAATTACATTCAAATCTGATTTCATGTTGACTTTAGAACTCCAATATGTTCTAGCTTCTCATCATATCATAAGTTTGATTTATGTTTTTTCTTTCCCCAGGCCAAGGACATGAATGGAGTCCAAAAAGAAGCACAATGGAAACTAGACCCCTTCGACATGCTTAACAACCAGTCCCTCTTCCAGAACGCATCATTCTCCGCGTTACTCCCTCGCTCCACATCTTCATCCACCCCCTCCCCTTCTTCTTCTTCCTCTTCTTCCTCTACGTTACCCAGCTCCCTCTCCCTATTCTCGTCTCAGGACACTAGCAACGCTCCATGTCTCCTGTCTCCACCCGTCACCTCACGCAGCAAATCCCAGGAGTCCCTCCGTTCATCCCCCAATCCGTTCCTCGCAGACGCCCAACCCAGACCCAACAGCACAAACCCTTTCACCGGCAACCTGCTGTCCTCCCCACACCGACCACTCACACCCGATTTCTACACCCAGCATCAGGCCCAAGCAGCCAAACCTGGCCTGAACAGGGCCATGTCGGCTGTGGTTCACAGTTCCACTCTTCCAACATCTTTCTCCAGACAACAATCCTTCGTTCCTGCTACAGCAGCAGCCCCAACCAAACAGTCCCAAAAGTGGGTCACCTTTGATGACGATTCAGACTTTTTAAGAAACGCTCCATCCGCAGTTGGGACCGGCCCGCCACTTATACCTGCAGCCTCATCCCTTCCCTTCCCACAACCCCAGAGCAGCTTCCCCAGCTCAGGCTTTGACTTCCTTTTAAGAAAGGCTCCATCTGGAGTTGGGACCGGCCCGCCACTTATACCCGCAGCCTCATCCCTTCCCTTCCCACAAACCCAGAGCAGCTTCCCCAGCTCAGGCTTTGACATGGACAGCAACTGGGTGTCGCTTCCCACCTCTACATTCCCCACAATCCCCCCTCCGATCCCAACCAGGACTAATACCAGCATCAAAAACGCCCACATCCCTTCCAGAAACGAATTTACAGAGAGATGATACAGCCCAGAACATGTATGTAAAATATGGAGAAAATATTATTGTGTATCTATACGTGTATAAAAGTGCGGTAGTGGAAATGTTGACCTGTTTGTATGAAAGAAAGAAATCTGGTTGTTGCCTTTAGCCCAATGCAGATAGGAAACCAAGAAGAATTCATGCAGATTTATCACTTTATGTTTTTTAGATTTAAAATTTAAAATAATGGGCTGAGATTCTGTAATTTGCATATTAACTTATTAAAACTTTACAGTTCAATGGCCAGATATTAAACATTTAGCCCGCAGATCATTCAGCATCAAGCTACATATTAATCAGATGTAAAAAAAAAAAAAATGTACAAATTTTAAATTATATATCTTGTTGCATTTCAATTTCATCGTTTACTCACCTTCACGTCAGAACACAAAAGATGATGTTTTGGGGGAACAAAAAATGTGTCCATTCAATGGATCTCAATGGGGTTGTTTTGGACTCCAATGACTTGCATTATACGCACAAAACTATTTTTCAAAAAAAATGTTCCACGGAAGAAAGCAAGTCAAACAGCATTGTAAAGACGTAAGGTGTGTAAATGATGATAGATCTTTCACTTTTTGGTGAAATATCCCTTTATCCTGTAACTCAAATAAGAAAAACGTATCATCAAACGCACATATTTTAAAATGCCTGGCTGTGTCCGACCTGTTCTACGCCATCATATCCGTTAAATGGGCTTCTCAGTGAGCCAAGATATGTTTTATTGTTTCTCTCATTATGAATGTATCTCTCACCAGTTTCTATGGCCTATGTTCACACAACAGACTCCCTCCCACCCCTTGCATTGCGTAGCACGACCAATGTGCTTAGCTTTTCAAAATATATCTTCTATACATATTCATAGTGATTATATGTCTTCCTAGTGGGGGAAAAAACATGCAAAGTAGGTCTGAATTGTGTTTATATTTGCAGCATATACATGGCATATCTAAAGTGCACTGAAGAGCTCGGCCCTCTAGGCTTTCAAACTCAAACGTTTGAGATGCTACGTTTGTGCGGAGAGGGTCACAGTGGCCCTCTCATTCCTCGACACTGTATATACATGTGCTTTCAGTCTCATCTGATCCAAAGCTCTTGACAGAAATGCTGTATTAAACAAATGTGTAGTGTGTGTGTGTGTGTTTGGTTTGGTGGGTTCCTCCTTCGGGATGTCGATCATGCTTTATTTTGTGCAATGTGTACTTATTCGCTCAATGATATCTTATTTTTTAATTTCGCTGAACAGGTTGTGGATAAATCTATTTATTGTTGTGTGGGGAAATACTGTGCTGTATTTTGGAGTGTGACGTCTGTTTCTGTGTACTTTAGCTGTTCGTGTGAGTGCGCTTGAGTGTTTGCGTCGTCATGTTGAGGGATCTTTGTTATAAATCATTATAGCGTTATGTCTTAAAACTGTTTTATAGAAATATTTTTGTTATGGTATGAAGAATGGTATAATCTTGAGGGGAAGACAGACTGTTAAATAAACAGAGATTGATTATGAATGCCATAATGTTTAAAGCTACCATCCTATGTTGTTTAATAATGCCTTAGACATTTTGAGGAAGTTCAAATGTGTTTGAGTGTGTTTATTGGATTCTTATTGGATTAATGGTTCAGCCTCAGTTGTTTTTGTTGGTTGTATAGCATTCTGGACTGTGTAATGATGCATTATGGGTGAATGGTCAGCCTTCCGGCATTGGCATTTTATATGTGGAGTTGGTTTCCTCATATTATGCAGATTTTTAAATGTCCTTCAAGGGCATAGTGAAATGATTCAGTCTTGGTTGAAGTGTAGGTATTTCAGGAAAGCAGTATTTTACTTGTATTTTTGTTCCTTGTTTACATTTTAGGTACACATTTAACATCTGCACAGTTGTTCAAATGTTCTCCTGGGATGTGTTGAGCAACATATTTTGGCTTTGAGCTTATGGATATATTTTTGAACCGGGAAAGTACTGAAAAGTTTGTCTCCATTTGTGGTTTGGTTGAGGAAGGGGTCAGAAGAAAGCCGGCCAGCTAGATTATGTGTACTGATGCATGAGAAATCCATTCCAAAATGCATTTCTAAGCACTAACTGTGAACATCTCCAGAATACAGAGAAGTAAGAAGTATCAGGTTATGGATAATAAACTATATCTATTTTTCTTTTGATGCCTGATAAATACAATGTAACCACTTAACATTCAAAGGCATTAGAAGTGATTTGTTCAGGTGTTCTGTATGTAATGGAAGCGTTGAACCTGACATTGCCAGCGCAAGTTTAAAAGAAGTGAGATTTTATAGGAATTAACTCCTTTTGTGAAGTTAACGTTCCATTGTAGCTTTTAGCCCAGTAGTGAACAAAAGTCTGTGGTATTAACCTTATATGTATGTATACACAAACCCCAAAACTGCAATTCAGTAACGAGTACTCGATCTGTAATTTAAGTGCATATCAAAAGTGCACATTTATCTATGGAGCAATTGATGTTGTATGTATGCAATAATAAATGTAATTCAACATGAATTGTACTGGTAGGCTATTTATTACTGGATGCATCAGATCTTATGATGACAAAACATTTCAAAATAATTTATATATATATATATATATATATGCAATATTACTGCACAGCTTTTATGAGTATCTGTTTTCTTGTGAAACATTTTGGATATATAGAGAGAGTTTATTTCATGTTGGTTGTTAGAAATGTGCAAAATCACACAAATCAAGGTTGTAACCAGTACAGAAACCTTTAATAACAGTTGCAACAATTCGAAAATTATAAAAAAAAATAATAATAAAAAATCAAACTTAAATTATTGGCGTCTAATATTTTTCTGAGGGATAATCGCCTTTCACTGACCGTTTGTTAAAAGGAGAAACTATAGGTCAGTTATTTAATCAATATTATTTAAATACTATTATAGTTTTATTTGTTTTTATCACACAGTCTATAGGAATACCAGACTTGAATTTCACTGCTCGTTGGATGAACTATAATTGGTGTGACAAATAATCTTTGAACTTGCAAATATACGAGTCTTTTATTTTGTAGCAGTACTTCCGGTCAAACGGAGCAGGTTCTGTCAAGGTTGTTATTGCTGCTGTCATCACACCGTTAAGTGCATCGCATCAACACAGCGCTGAATTGAACGGCAGACCAATCTGTCTCATAATAAACAGCCATGATGGGATGTCAAAGAAGACGCACCTCCGTGTCAAGAGCTTTTATGCTTCCCCGTTTACTCTGCCTGATGTGCTTTGCTGTCGTTAGTCTGGCTGAGAACACGGACATGGTAAATGTGGTGACGGAGAGGAAAGCGGAGGAGAGCCACAGGCAGGACAGCGCCAACCTGCTCATATTCATCATGTTACTCACACTCACTATCCTCACGATATGGCTCTTCAAACACCGCCGCTTCAGGTTCCTGCATGAGACGGGCTTGGCTATGATTTATGGTGAGATTTAGTACATGTATTCATATTCAAGTGCACATTCAGGAACCTTCATTCAGTGTAGGAGGGGACCAGGAATCTTGTGCATGATGAGCTCATTAATGTTCTCAAAGTACTTGTCAATCTATCCAATCAATTATTTTGCAATGCAGCTAAAAAAAATACAATGACTTTAAATGACAACCATAGTATAATCTTAATAATAAAGAATGTCGTATTTTTGCCAGATTTATATATTTATGCAGTTTTTGTTAAGATTTTGTCTGTTTGTAAAAATTATTGTCTAGTAAATACTTAAAAATCTAAATTGAAATCTTAAATATAAATCTTAATTGATTGTGATTGTTAATAATTAATATTTTTATATAATATAATTGTATATTTTACATATATATATATCATAATTATTGTAAGTCTTAATTTATTATATACATTTATTATAATTAATTTATTATATTTTAATAAATGTAATACTTTAAGTCTTTTTAATGCATTTATTGTGTAATAAATACTTTATCTATATTTAAATCTTAAATATAAATTAATTAATTTATATATTTTAGTATATTTCCTACATTTAAATTCATTTTTAATTCAATTATTTTTTACTTAATACTTAAATCTTAAATGTAATTTTTAATTAACTTATAAATGTAATAATCTTAAGTCTATTTTAATACAATCATTGTGTAATTCATATTTAAATCTAAATGTAATATTAAATATAAGACTTAATTACTATATTTGAATAAATTTAATAAATGTAAAGCTTTCCGAATTTTCGCCGTTTTACTTCAATAGCAATAATTGGTATTATTGTAGAAAATATGATTACCATGATAAATAATTGCTTTTTTTATTTCTCTGAATGTGCTTTCATTAACATAATGAGTATTAAAACAATATTTGATGTATATGTTTTTCATCTCCAGGTTTGTTTGTGGGTGTGATTCTGCGCTTTGCGGTCCATTCGCCACAGGACTTCAATGACATCACCTTGAGTTGTGCCGTGAACAGCAGTCCCACCACCATCCTGGTGAACGTGAGTGGCCGATTATACGAGTACAGCCTGAGAGGAGAGGTGCGGGACAGCAAGGGCCACGATGTGCCAAATGCAGAGATGCTCAGGAAGGTACTGCTGTTAAATCCGCTAAAATAACAAATATGTTACCAACAATGTTTAATATTGTTTGTTCCTTCTACTGGATGTGAATGTATAATATTGTATACGGGATTTTGTTTTCACACTTCTAGGTTACATTTGATCCTGAGGTTTTCTTCAACATTTTGCTTCCACCCATCATCTTTCATGCGGGATACAGTCTCAAACGAGTAAGAATATGGTTATCATTAAGAAAAAAATCACAAAATACATAAATAATCAGGGAAAAAAGAAACTTGTTTAATCCGTAATTATGTCTCCTTTTTCAATGACTGATGTGGATTAGCTTGTTTGATTTTTAGTAATCTTTTTTTTTTTATTCATTTTAACTATCAGAGGCATTTTTTCAGAAATTTGGGGTCTATCCTCTCCTACGCCTTTGTAGGCACACTGACATCATGCTTTGTAATAGGGTGAGTGATGATATTTTAAAAAGAAAAGGAAAATGTTTTGAAAAAGGGTAACACTAGTTTAGGGTCCAATTCTCACTATTAACCAGTTGCTTATTAGCATGCATATTACTAGGATATTGGCCATTTATTAATACCTATAAAGCACACATTAACCACCATATTCTGCATCAATACCTAAACTTAACAGCTACCTTTCTAACTATTAAGCCGTATAAGCCGTAATTAGGAGTTAATTGAGGCAAAAGTTAATAGTTAGAAGTGGACCCTAAACTAAAGTGTGACCGAGAAAAGATAAAATTATATAATTCATTTTGGTATTGTCTAATGTCCCCTGTCCAGGTTGGTGATGTACGGCTGTGTGGTGTTTATGAAAGCCATCGGTCAGCTTGGAGGCGATTTCTTTTTCACTGACTGCCTTTTCTTCGGTGCTATTGTATCTGCTACTGATCCAGGTATTGTTTTTGCTTTGAAATTAGTACACTGAGCTCTTATATTTCATAGACTGTATATAGCTATATTAAAATTCACTTCGAATGATTTCATAACCAAGGTTTTAATTTATTACAGTGACTGTTCTGGCCATTTTCAATGAGCTGAAAGTTGACGTGGATCTCTATGCCCTGATGTTCGGCGAGAGCGTCCTCAATGATGCTGTGGCCATTGTCCTGTCGTCGTGAGTGCACACCCTTTTTTGCAAAAATACACACAACACACACAGCAGATTCATGTGAAGTCCTCAGGGCTATTTATTCTCGCGTTCAGATTACTAAAATACACAGATAGAAATGAGTTACTACAGCAAGGGCTTGACATTAAAGGGATACTCCACTTTTTTTGGAAATAGCCTCATTTTACAACAGTCCCAGAGTTAAACAGTTGGGTTTTACAGTTTTCAAATCCATTCAGCCCATTTTCTGATATCTAGAAGAATATCAGTAACCAGACAGTTTCTGGATTCATTGACTTCCATAGTATATTTTTTTTCCTACTATGGAAGTCAATGAGACCAGAAACTGTTTGGTTTCTGATATTCTTCTAAATTTCACAAAATCACCTGAATGGATTCGAAAATGGTAAAACCCAACTGTTTAACTCTGGGGGAGTTGTAAAATGGACCTATTTCCCAAAAAAAGTGGAGTATCCCTTTAACACTCCACAGATGCGTGTGTGTTATGCACATCGTTCAGAGGCTTTGGGTTGGTACGATTTTTTTTAATGTTTTTGAAAGATGTCCGGTATGGTAAAAACAGTAATATTGTGAAATTTAAAATAAGTGTGTCCTCCTATTTCAATATATTCAGAACTGGGATGGCAAATAATTTTTAGCATCATTACTCCAGTCTTCAGTGTGACATGATCCTTTAGAAATAGCTTAAAAAATCTTTATCATTGTTTTCAATGTTGAAAAGAGTTGTCTGCCTAATATTTTCATGGAAATCATGTTGCATTTTTTCACGATCGTTTGATAAACAGTACACGATTTTCAAACAAACTAAATTTTTTGTTTTGTAACATTATAAATGTTTACTGTCACTTAATATCAGTTGAATGCTTCTTTGCTAAATAAAAGTATTAATTTCCATGTTTTGAGTTATGTCAAGCACACAGGGTTTTCTATGTATTGTAAACAAGTTCAGTCAATCTGGATTGGCTGTGTCTTGTTTTAATATGAAAAATGATCTTTCTCACCTTCTAACAGATCAATAGTGGCATACCAGCCTGAGGGAGACAATCGGCACACATTTGATGGCAGTGCCCTGCTCAAGTCTCTGGGTGTCTTTCTGGGGTTTTTCAGTGGGTCTTTTGCAATGGGGGCTGCAACAGGAGTCATGACTGCTCTGGTATCTTTATATGGTTTCCCCTCTTTATTTATTTTTTTAACATTTACATAACTACCCAAAATAATCAGTCTAAACCCATCTAAGGTAGTTGATGTATTAATATGTGCTGTTATTTAGGTCACAAAGTTCACCAGACTGAGAGATTTCCCCTTGCTGGAAACGGCCCTTTTCTTCCTGATGTCCTGGAGTACGTTCCTATTGGCCGAAGCCTGCGGCTTCACAGGTAACTATGGCAACCCTATGATAGAAATATTTGTTTAGTCACATGCTGCATATGACATAATGGAAAAGTGACTACTGTGGGATTATGGAGACAGGTAACTTCTCTAATATTGCTTTGTTACAGGGATACTTCTAATCAGTCGTGGCCTCAGTGCTCTAATATATAATGATCGGCTGACTACATTATCATTTATAAACATCATAACCTGTATTTTGGTTAGTGTGTCCAATTCACACTATTAACTTATAAACTACGACTTTTGCCTCAAACTCCAAATTAGTGCTTATTAATAGTTAGTAAGGTAGTTGTTACGTTTAGGTATTGGGTAGGATTAAGGGATGTAGAATATGGTTAATGCAGAATAAGTCATAAAGATAAACATACAAATTATAAGTACTAATAAACAGCCAATATCCTAGTAAAATGCATGTTAATAAGGATTAATAATGCGTAGTTAATAGTTAGAATTGGACCCTAAACTAAACTGTTACCTATATTTTTAATCAATGGTGTTAACTAAAACTATTAAAAATAGTTCAAAATATTATATATATATATATATATTTGATGAAGACGAGTACGAAAATGACTAAAACTAAAATTGAAATAAAAATGTATTAACGTCAAATAAGAACTAAAAATGACCAAAGCACAACAAATGTGCTAAACTTTAACTAAAGTTAAAATGAAAACTAAACATATAAAAATAAAAATACTATAATAGTAGATAATAGTAATAATACTAAAATAATCTTCTATGTTTCTGTGTTTAGGTGTGGTTGCAGTGCTTTTCTGTGGAATGACTCAGGCTCACTATACATACAACAACCTTTCTGCTGAATCCAAAACTAGAACCAAACAGGTAACACGTATTTGAAAGCCCTCTAACAACTGTACAAACCTTTTGCATCTTTGAAGATTGGCATACTGATAGCATTGTCCTCCATTTCCCCCAATAGTTGTTTGAGCTGCTGAATTTCCTGGCTGAAAACTTCATCTTTTCTTACATGGGCTTGACACTTTTCTCCTTCCAGCACCATGTGTTCAATCCCTTGTTCATCATAGGTGCATTTGTATCCTTTTGAAGGAGTGTATTTGTGCTGTACTCATGAATTGTGTACAGATAAACATTCACACATATTATCCTTGACCGTGGCTTTTATTTCTAGCTGGCGATACTTCTTGGCAGGGCAGCCAACATCTATCCCTTGTCTTTCCTGGTAAACCTGGGCCGCAAGAACAAAATAGCCTCCAATTTCCAACACGTCATGATGTTTTCAGGTAATACCTTACTTTTTAATATGCATACTTTCCTCTTTTCTGTTTCTTATGTTGTCATCCTGACCTTTCAGGTCTCCGAGGGGCTATGACCTTTGCCCTGTCAATTAGAGACACTGCGACATACGCCAGGCAGATGATGTTTTCTACCACCCTGCTGATCGTTTTCTTCACTGTGTGGTTCTGTGGGGGCGGGACGACACCAATGCTGTCACTCATGCATATTCGGTGAGTCTTAAGCCCGGTTCACACTACAAGCGACTTTGTCGCTGCAGGTCGCCAGTGGCTCCGCTGGAGGGCGTTCCCACTACTGGTTGCCTAGTAATGTTTGTGAGTGACATTCACGGATGTTATTCTATGTTTGACAACAAAATACGTTTCTTGCCACTACAAACAAACATTTTGGAAGGAAAAGTCTATATATAAATGGAATCAGTACATAAAATGCATAATATTAAAGATGAACGAGAAACGGTGAGTGCTCTTTGCCATCGCAGCTTTTTAACTGCAGCAAACGGGCAAATATCTGGGTTCCCGAAACCATTCAGTCACAGAGTCAGTATGCTGAACACCACTTTATGTACATGGAGATACATCATAAATTATAGGACAGTTTCTGACTGCTAAAATGAGCTAGTCGGTCAGACTCAGCACTGAAGAGTGACGCGCTCCACTGACTTCACTCCTATTGGTTGTCACTCTTGAAAGTAGCTCTTCATTTGCATAAAGTTAAACACACGCCCCACCGGTCGCCGGAAATCACCCGCTCCCCATCGAAATGAATGGTATCGCTTTGTCGCTTGTATTGTGAACTTGCATTCTGGAAGCAAATTATGTCTCACTTTCATTTTATTTATTTCTTTTTTGCTTAAATGACATTATGTTTCCACAGAGTGGGAGTGGACACAGATCAAGATAATACTGTAAGTTCTGCTCATGTCTGCGTGAAATCCAACTGCTGATATCAGAAAAAAAAACACTGTTTAGCATTCAAATATTTACTGTACAGGTCTGTACCATAAGGGTAATATAACAGGCTGTATGAACTTTCTTGTCTTTTTTTCTTTGCTCATATAGGTCACAGCACCAGATGGGATGACACAGAGAAGTACCAAGCATGAAAGCGCCTGGCCGTTCAGACTGTGGTACACTTTTGACCACAAGTATCCTTCAGTTGTTCTGCCGAGTTGTATCAACATTTAATTGTTCTTTAAAAAATGACTTATTTACAACCTTGTATTCTACATATTGGATTTGACAATATTCGGCAATCAACCATAAAGCATTGTAAATCTCCAATAGTATATAGCCCCTTTCGTACTGAAAGTCCAGGATTTGTTCCGGGTGACATCAGGATGTGAAGTGTAATGTACGCATCAGAAACGCTAGTTAAAACCCCAAATCAAAGAGTCGCACGATAACTATGTGTCATCACTACTACATTTGTTCACACGAGAGCTTGTTTTGGGACTGATCCCTGTAATGTTACCTGGACGTGTTTGTATTTTACACAGAAATCACTTAAAAATCCTTAGTACAGCTTGTTAAACAGTAGATGGCGCTCATGATCAACTTGAAAAAATGATTTGATTTTTTTCATCTGGGATTCAGTAACTACACATTCGCCATAGTTGTGGTCACATGACATGCAGGTAAACAAATAATGTTTTCTTTTTAGAAAGTGTTTTGATTTATTGTTTTCATTTCATTTAAATTAAAAAAAAAATGTGATTTTAATTAATTACTAGCTTTTCATCAACTTTTGAACCTCTGCCCTGGAATTTTCATTTTTCACAAACCAGACTAATGATTATTGTGATTACTATTATAATGAATATTATATAATTAATATCATTTGAGACATGCTACCAGAAGTACAAATTGGCATACAATATATAATTCAATTATGAAAAATGAGAAATAAAAAAATGTCAGTGTGCATGAAATGGTCAAAATGAAGTATATCAATTATACAAAAAAAGAATCTAAATTTATCAAAAGTGATATAAAAATCGACTAAATGCTGTCTTTTGTCATTTCTATTCATAAAAATCCTGAAAAAGGTGCATTTTTCAAAAAAAAATATTAGTCAGCAGTCAGCACAGCTGTTTTGAACATTGATAGTTATGATGATAATAATAAATATGTCTTGAGCAGCAAATAGCATACTAAAATGATTTCTGAAGGATAATGTGACAATACAGAGTGGAGTAATGATTCTGAAAATTCAGCTTTGCCATTAAAGGAATAAATTACATTTTGCCATTTATTAAAATAGGAAACATTTACTTTAAGTTGAAATAATTTCACAATATTACTGTTTTAACTGTATTTTTGATTGCAGCTTTTATATTTAACAGTATAACTAATAACAATGAGTTGTAGTATAATTATTTAAGTAATTTTGAATCATGTTCAATCCTTAATGAAGTGGTGCAGTTATTTAAAACCCTTCCTCACACACAGCGGGCCTCCTCTCACTACCACTCTGCCAGCCTGCTGTGGTCCAATAGCGCGCTGTCTTACCAGCTCACAAGCCTATGAGGTAAACCATTGAACCATATCTGCTTTTGGCTTATACTACAGTGTAGAAATGTGTAAAATCATATGAGCAAATGAGTGTTATCTGATTTTTGCAAATCGTGGATTGTCTTCCCCTCTAGAACGCCGGTCAATTGCATGATGAGGACACAGAGCTGATTCTAAATGACGGAGATGGTTTTATGTACAGTGACATGACGATCAGCACGGATGCCCATGGCATGCCCACCACCTCCACGGGCCAGGCTGGTCTTTACTCACTAGCAGGAACGTCAGATGATCCTCTCGACAGGGAGCTTGCGTTTGGAGGCACCCGTCTGGTCCTCCCCACAGAAGAGCATCCAGACCCGCTGACATCATTTCCTCCTCCTCCACCATCCCCGCCTCTGTCGGATCCTCTGCGCCACAGAGTCTGAGCCTGCTGGACAGCTGCTGACCTCTGCCTCTCTAAGTGATACTTTTTTTTTCTTCAGAGATATTAAGTTAAATGTTTATTTATGCTTTTATTGGTTCATTATTTCGTGCCATTAATATTTATTTATTTGTTAAGACACTGTTCTACTATGGCTCTGTTGGCTAATCCTTCTGTTTTCTGACTAATTTCTCAAGAAAAATAAAATGTGCCATAAAAGATTCTGAATAAATTTTGTGTTTAGTAGCGTGTAGGTCAGACTGAACGTCTGCTTCTATTGTGAATGCATTGATGTGTTTTGATTGATCATTTCAAAGCTATACATAACTTGTGGGTCAATTGTGGATAAATCTATTTTAATAAGTGCCTCCGTCCTGTTTCCTGGTGTTTGTACTGTGACTCATCATTACCTCATTAACATTTACAAAAAGAGGTTCATATTTGTGAAAAAGTGATTTATTTCAAAGTGTTTCCATACCCCTTGACCCTCCAATAAATGAGGATTGATGAACTTTTTAAGCCAGTGTTGAAAATTATTTGAGTGCAGTCATCTTTATTATTGATTAATTTACTAAAAGATATACTGCCATTGATTTCGTATTTTTACAGGTACAGTAATTGTTGCTAAACGTAGCTTTCTAGAAATTTCTAAATATACATAGCCAACTGCCTGGTGGAATTTTGAAGACATTTCAGAAATTGACTTTAAAGTCAGTTTTTGATCATGGGAAAGGCTCTTTTTTCATAGAATGAAATTGTTGGGTATTAATTTGATTGTTTTAGCAGCGAATAAATAAAAAACCGCGCACCGTGTGATTAGGAATCCAACGATGGTAAAATATCTTAATATTCATGAGGTTAATCTTCGTCATTCGATGGTAATTGCGCAGCGCCAGTGTGATCTAATTAATATTAAGAAGAAGGCTTTCGCTATTGGACGTCTACCAATGAACGTTAGGATGGGCTGATTAATATTTATGAGCTAAGACATCTCGACAACCCACCAACGCAAAACCAAACCAAGTGCAAAACACATTGAAGGTTTGCTGTGGCTGCAGTGAACAGGACACTCAGAGCACCGTGTCCCGCAGAAAAAGGTAAGTTTAACTTTCTCAACGGTTAAAAACTGAGGATAACAAAGCTGCAAAATGTACGTTTTCTTAGGACACGGAGTCATAAGAATACCTCCATGCAGACCTATATGCTAAGATAAACATCAAATTATAGAGGCAGATTTTTTAGCATTTTTTTCATATGTAAATAAATAATACAAATATATTTTCAATATACATATAGGCCGCCTAATGTACAAATATTTTCGTGATTTCAAAAAAAAATTCCAATCAGTTGTGTTGTTGATCTACAGGAATTTATTTCACCTGCCACCAAGATTTAACAAACATCCATCATTATAGCCTACTCTTGAAAAAGTTCACATTTTCAAAATGGTGTTAAATGGTTAATATTTAACCTGTCCAAGACTAAACCTACCCTTACATGTGCAGTATGCTGTTTTGATTAACCTCTATGATCTACCAGTGAATCTGAATATAAAGTGCACCAATGTACAGTAATGGGGCGTTGGCTGCAGGGATTTCTGCATGTTCTTTCAGCCTCTGAAATCTGTTTCTTATTAAAGATTTTCACTCCAGAGATCTAACCACATGTCTAAGGTATGGACTGATGGGCTGAGAGACTCTGCTGGACAGTTTGTCTAAAATTGTCTGAAAGGAATTCACCCCATGAGAGTGATATAAATATCTGATATCTGTCTTTGATGTCCATAATTCTATCATTATCTTTTGCACATTCCGAAGAAGTAAAATGCACAGGAAATTTATTAGGCTATCATACCGTATTCCCATTCGGACACTTTTTGCTGGCTGAAGTGATTTGTCTTTACAGACACTGAATGAACAAGCATGTTATTTCTAAGGTAATTCATATACAAAAGTGTTGTATATTAATGTTTGTAAATGTAAGTATTGACATAAGATACATTTAAAATTGGAGCCAAACTCCCTGTTCTTCCCAAGACAAGTAGTGTATTGTATCAAGGGTGCATGGACGATCTCATGTGTTTGAGTCACTGCCTCATGACTGATTATGTATCAGAAGCCAGTTGCAACAAACTTCCTAAAATATGTAATAAAACCTTTGCAATTACTGTATAAAAATGGGTTTTCTTAAAAGAGTACACAATGATAATCAAAAACATTTGACATCACCATCAACAGAACTGTCTGTTCCTCATTAACGTCTGATCCATGCCGATCTTGTTTAACGTCTGTGAAATGATCTTGTGTTCTCCTGCTACTAAGAACACAGTGGGGACCTGTAAAGCATTTGACATTCCCTTAAAGGGATAGTTCGCCCAAAAATGAAAATTCTATCACCCTCATGTTGTTCCAAACCTGTATGAATTTCTTTCTTCTGCTGAACACAAAAAAAAAAGATATTTTGAAGACTGTCGGTAACCAAACAGTTGATGGACCCCATTGACTTTCATGGAAAAAAAGAACCGCCAAAACTGTTTGATTACCGAGATTCTTCAAAATATCTTCTTTTGTGTTCAGCAGTAGAAAGAAATTCATACAGGTTTGGAACAACTTGAGGGTGAGCTGTAAATAATGAATTTTATTTTTTCTGGTGAACTGAGTTACAAGCAAAGCAACCAGTTATGAAATGAATCACAACATTAAAAACTTTGTTTTGAAGCAAAAAAAAGTACTTGAAAATCAGATAAAAAGAGAAAGGTACAAGATTTTGGGATAGTTAAGATAGGGATAGTTCACCCAAAAATGAGCCCATGATTTACTCACCCTCAAGTCATCCTAGGTCTATATGACATTCTTCTTTCAGACAAATACAATCGTAGATATATTAAAAAAATATATATCCTGGCTCTTCCCAGCTTTATAATGGCAATGAATGGCTGTTTCTGTTTTGAAGTCCATAAAAGTACATCTATCTATCCATCCATCATAAAATTGCTTCACTTCAGAAGGCCTTTATTAACCACAGAGCCGTGTGGAGCACTTTTGTGACGGATATAGATGCACTTTTATGGACTTCTGAACTAAAAAACAGCCATTCACTGCCATTATAAAGCTTAGAAGAGCCAGGACATTTTTTTTAATATAACTCCGATTGTATTCGTCTGAAAGAAGAAGACTTGAGGGTGAGTAAATCATGGGTTAATTTTCAATTTTGGGTGAACTATCCCTTTAACGGCTTGAATGGGGGAAAGAATTACAATCTCATGAAGCATCGAATCAAAAACAATGGAGAAGAGATTTAAAGAGAATAGTGAGATTGACACTAAAGAGCTCTTTCAGAGAAATTTGCTTTTGATTCTCTGATTGGTGGAGATTTATTTGCAAAATCATGGGTAATGTAGTTTTTACCCAGAGTTTTGCTGTTAAACATGAATATTTCAAAAATAAGTTGATATAATGTGCACTGATGGCTTCCTTCAACACCATTGATTAACAACCTCATAGCTCACAGTAAGTCCATCTTTAACGGTTTATTAATTATTGTTAAAAATCAATTCCCCTATGGAGAAAATGAATGGGGTTTTTACTTCCCGAACATGACTGTTGCACTATATTGTACTTCTGTTTTGACTGCAAAATCCAATGACTGACCAATCAGAATAAAGTATTCCAGAACGCCATGTAATAAATAGCCCATTGTTACAGCCAGGTCCCTTTAAGAGAACCATTGTAAATTATAGTGAATTTCAGAAGGCATCAGTGTAATTATATGGTGGTTTACAAGTGGCCCCAGATTAACCCTATAGAGGTACGGTAGTCTTGTTTGACTTTCCTCTTAGTGTATTTAGGACTGCAGATCAAGAGGACTAGGGTTACACAGTTGGCCAGCCGTCTCGCCTGTTCTTCTTACCGCCACTTCACTGGCTTCCTGTTTCCAAGCGTTTTCCACATTCTTCAGCAAGTAGATCATGCCAACACAATAAAACTCTACCAAGACCCCCTCAATTTTACCAGCTGTAAAACAGGGTTGATTCCATTACCATATTTCAGATGACCAACATTGGCTAATCAGGACCATTTGTGCCTTAAAATGCATTTTACAAAAATACAGTTCATCCCACAAATGTTTAGAGCATATGCACAAGCACACTCATGTGTGTGGTTTGCGAATGCAGTAATTTTACTGTAAAAGTGATATTTTTGAGCTAACCAGCAGGTGATGTCATTGCCCAACTTCTAATTTGGTCGCCTTCATCATATGCGCCGCACCCCGTTGTGGGCCTGCAAAGAAAAATAACTTGTTAAATGCATGCAAAAGCAGCATAAATGAGGAAAAACATGGTCCGTATCACCATATTATTTTTCTCTTCAGCTGAAGTCTCACAGGCTCTCAAGTTCCCTCATATCGCATCTACCAATGGGTCGCGAGCAGCATGACTGTTCCAATTCTTCCCCTCGTTTGCTTTGGCTGCTACGCTCGCCCGACTGTGTTCCAGATGCTGGTGCATGAGGTCATCCTGAAACCGGATTCCAGTCTCAACAGTCTGCCATCTCCCTGGAGATCACATTAAATATTTGACTAAAACAAGAGTCTGTCCGTTCGCCATTACATCAGCGTCTGTAAAAATGCCCCCCTTAACACTTATCTGTGACCCATTTAGCGGGTTCCCTTATTTGCACTAATTCTAACCAAGTAAAGCTGTGGCCTAGTGGTTAGCACATGTGCTGTGGGGTTCTTATGTGGGCCATGTGAGTTTGAATCTTGGGTGGGTTTCATGAAAATCTGAAGGAAAAATAATGAAAGTTGTTATTTTTAATACATTTTATTAAATACATTCTTAAAAATGTTACTAAAAATGATAATAATAATGTCTCACTTTCATTTTTTTAAGGAACATTTGGAAAATAAATACATATGTTTGTGATAAAATAATGAAAAATAGAATCTATAATAATTTTAAAAAATCTCAAAAAAAAGATAACGATAAGAATTGTTTTAAGTCTTTCCAGAAAAACAAATGTTCTTAATCTTGAGCTTGGAAATACAAAGAAAATAATAGTTGAGAAGTGGTTAATGTTTCGTGTATCCAGCTCCTGGTTCACATTGTTCTCCTCCTCTTTTATGTCCTTACTCTCCCATAAATCCCATTTGAAAATGTATGAGCTTTGGTGAGGGGCTGTTAGAACCGAGCTAAATGTGATCTCCAAATGTCTATTTGGTTTGTCATTAAAGTTAACTGACCAGGAAACTCAGAACTGGGAAAAGTATCATGAAGAACAGCAGATTTCGGAAGTCTTCGAACTTTCTGGAAAAACAAGCCCCCATTTGCCAAGTCCCGTAACAGTATCCCACATATTTAAGCCTCATTACAGTTCAGATACTTCTCCTGTGTCCATTAAAAAATACTTCTGTTAGTCTAAAACAGACATGGACCGGAGATTTGGTTTTAGATGTGTGTGTGTGAGCAGGACTACTGGGTAACAGGGGACGATACATAGAAAAATAAGTCAGTGAGAGTTTATTCTGGTTTTTGGCAGGGATGTTAGAACTTGAGAAAAAAAAAATAATTTATGGACTGTGCTGTACAATTTGCCCAGTTTAATTTGAAACTTTGGGATTTCCCGGCTCCATACCCATTAGGAATGTTAGTTCGAGTTTACAATTGCAAAGGCAACAGGAAATTAAACGTGTTATTTTTCCTCAGCTTTTGGGACTTCGGTTAGTTAGTTGACAGACCCACCTAGCTAAATAATTAACCAGACATAAGAGCTCACCGAAAAGTGAATGAGATGCTCCCTCTTTAAACTTTGTAACTTTTAACATTCCTCATCTCACCACATGCATACCAGACATACTTTAGCACGTATAAACCAAGCGATCAAATGTGTGCCCGCATACTAAAACATGCACATATGCGCTTGAAGCATTTGCTCAAAAGTTATATTTCATTTCCAGGAAGTGTTCTGCCCTAATTTTTAATGACTACATGGGAAAGTTCCCAATGACGTTTGTTTTGGCGAGTGATACAATATGTAATTCAAACCATGCAAGCGTTTATAATCGAATATCTCATAACAAATTCAATTTTTATTGTATTTCCTTGGCTGGTTCACGACATCATTTGATTTAGGCATGAATGTGTGTAATGAGTGCACTGCTTCATTATTACAGAAGAGATTTAACTTAGGCCTAACATACTGAAAGAAGGATCTGTCTTACTTTCAGCCCGTGTGCTAACCCGCTTTACAGCTGAACCGAACCCGCTATCAGATCTAGATAAGAACCGAGGACAATAAAAACATATGCTGTGTGCTGTTGCCTATGGTTACATAACAGCTCAAAGCAATTTGACCCCTCCGCCTAAGGGAAAACGGAACAAACACTATCTAGCGATAAATTGCAGTTTCCTCAGGAAACTCTGCACACTGTTAACTAGCCTACATGAGGGGGTGTGTGATGGACAACTTTTTTTCTTTCAAAAAAAAACCTTTTCTTTTTTTCTACTAATACATCATCATGTATTTTTACGACAAAATTGTATTATCACGATGAGGTAATCGCTGTTATTATTTCTCACAGCTATCCGTGGGTTTATTGGGAGAATATGGCAGATCGTTCCAGCTGTTTTTACTGTCGCGAGGACCTCAGTGGAAAGAAGTTCGTGAGGAAAGACGAGAAACCAGTTTGCGTGCGATGCTTTGACAAGTTCTGCGCCAACACCTGCACAGAGTGTCGACGGCCAATCAGCACCGAGTCAAAGGTAACAAAATGTGTGTGTGTGTGTGTGTGTGTGTGTGTTTGTGTTTTCCATGGGTGGTTCTGTTGTTAAAACGCTAAAAAAAAAAAAAACCCAGGCTGAAATCTTTGTCTGATGTGTTTTGTGCTCTTGACATTAAACTTGACAGTTGCTTTGCTCTGGCCCATATCTGTCGGATAAGAGCACTTATCGGCTACTAATGTAATAGTTTAGAAAAAAGATCCCTTTTCAGTTACAGGAGTAAACATGGTGACGTTTTTGTGGGCGAAGCTTGGGTGGAGCCAGAACGATCCCCCTGGCCACTTACCGAATGTTAATTTGCAAGTTTTGTTAACTTGATTTTTAATAATGACTGGAGGAAATATAATTTTATCTTACTGTGCAAGGTCACTCAGTGTCCAGGACCGCGATTGTTATTTGCAAAAGTTCATTTTAACGGACGGAACCAGATTGGCCATTGATTCCATTGGCGTAATTTGCGGGTGGGGCGGGTGGGGCATGTCCCCACCACTTTTTTGCCAGGGTCGATATTGTCCCCACCACTTTTGAAACATCTCGCAGCAGGGAACGCGGCTCGACAACAGAACCGGAAGACAATACAATGCTGAATAAAGTCGTAGTTTTTTATTTTTGGACCAAAATGTATTTTCGATGCTTCAAAACATTCTAACTAACCCACTGATGTCACATGGACTACTTTGGTGATGTCTTTATTTACTTTCTGGACAAGGACAGTATGCCCTGTAATAGGCTACTGTAGGCATACATTTGTCGTATTTCTCATTATTTAAAAAAATATATATTTTAGAATTATATTTTTAATTAATCAACTGAAAATAATGTTGGGGTTGGTTTTTTGATTTTTTTTTTTTTTTTTTTTTTTCTGCATTTATTTGATTAAAAAAAATTAGTAAAATCCATTGTTAAATATTATTACAATCTTTTCTTTTTTTTTTACAAAAAAACTGTTTCTATTAGTATATATTAAAATGTTATTTATTTCTCTGACGACAAAGCTGAATTTTCAGCAAGTCTTCAGTGTCACATGGTCCTTCAGAAATCTTACTAATATGATGATTTTCTACTTGAGAAACATTTCATATTCTCAATGTTGAAAACAGTTGTGCTGCTTTATATTTTTTGGGAAACTTTTTCCAGATTCTTTGATGAATAAGACCAGCATTTATTTTAAATAAATATATTACTTTCACAAAATATTATTATATTATATGTGTGTACATCTCTGTTTTGGTTCCTTTCTGTGTAGGAGCTTCACCATAAAGGGCGATACTGGCACTCAGATTGTTTCCGATGTGCCAAGTGCTATAAGAACCTGGCCAAGGAGTCTTTCACCTCCAAGGATGACCGGATCCTGTGTGGGACGTGCAGCTCACGTGAGGATGCCCCTCGCTGCCATGGCTGCTACAAGCCCATACTGGCAGGTATAAATATAAATGGATTTTTATTTTCAGTAGATTTATTTAGCTTAAAAATCTAATATGAAATTATATATGTGTGTGGTTTTAAAACACATTAAATGCTTTAAACTAAGATATAACAACCATTAAATAAACTAAAACATCAGATAAAGACATAAACTGACATTATATTTCTTGTTTAATTTTTTTTTCCTTTGCATGTATAATATCTTCATGTGTAACCGTTCCATTTTTCTCTCTAATGTGTTTGATACAGGCACTGAGAATGTGGAATACAAAGGCAACTCCTGGCATGATGAGTGTTTCACCTGCTATCAGTGTCAAAAGCCAATTGGCTCCAAAAGTTTCATATCAAAGAACAACAACATCTACTGCAGCCCTTGCCACGAGAAGAAATTTGCCAAACAATGCGCTTGCTGCAAGAAGGTGAAAGATTTCATAGAATTAATGTTTTTTTTAAGGATTACTTTTAAAGTGGTTGATTTCTTAAAATTCTGTCAACACAAAACATGTTCTTTTATAACATAAAGATGTTTTATGATAATAATGGTATTGCTTCCACATGTTTTGTCCTCCAGCCCATTACCACAGGAGGTGTGAATTACCAGGACCAGCCGTGGCATTCAGAGTGTTTTGTGTGCTCCTCCTGCCGAAAGCCTCTGGCTGGCACCCGCTTCACCTCCCATGAGGAAAAGGTCTTCTGTGTGGACTGCTACAAAAGCACTGTGGCTAAAAAATGCAGCAGCTGCCAGAATCCCATTACAGGTTTGAATCCACACACACACAATTCTCGACGCTGTGCATTCTTTTTGAACATTGTGTATTTGACTTGAACTAAAGTGACAAATAAATCTACTTTTTTCTCATCCCACAGGATTTGGCAAGGCTACGAACGTAGTGAACTATGAGGGCGGCTCTTGGCACGATTACTGCTTTAACTGTAAGAAGTGCTCTCTCAATCTGGCAGACAAGCGCTTTGTAGCTCGCAATGGAGACATTTACTGCTCTGACTGCTCCAAGAAACTGTAAGCGCCTGCTCACTGTGGAGACAAAAAGAGTGAGATTAATTCCGAAAAAAAATGGCAGCATTCATTTGAATTTATACAGAAATCCCACATAAACATGTGGAAGTATTGACAAAGGCTTCTGTTATGTTGGTTCTGGCTTCTTTATGAGGGGAGTTTGATATTTCCTGTGAGAAATGTTACGTTTACCTAGAGGCTTTGATGGAAAAACTTCTCTCTCTTTCCAAAGGCCCGTTTGTCTTAGGAAAGATAGTGAGACAGGATAACTGACGGATAAGGAAGAGAGGTGTGTGTGTTGTTTGAGACATATGACCGGTTTATCTGTGTTTCAGAACGACTTGTTTCATTGTATTAAATGAAACTTTGTGTTGATAACTTTTAAATCTGTAACAGCGTGTAATCGTGGCTGCTGAACCTGGCAGTACAATGTGTTTCTGTATCTTTTCGATTGCTTCCTTGTAATTTGAAATACTAATTATATATATTTTTTGTAATTGTCATAAACAATAATGGGAAAAATTAAAATGCGTAGCTTTTGTTGCTCTCTTTACTTACACATTCTTCTTACTGTTGATTAACATTCAAAAATACGTATTTTACCTTTGTATGATCTGAGAAAAAAATAAAGTTAAGATTCTGACAAAACTTCTTATGTCATTTGTATTTGCCATGTCTTTTTTTTTCATAAAACAGCGACATCTAGTGTCATTATGTAGTTTAGAATCAGTAAATGTTTGATCATTTCAAATCCGTATGCAGACTTTAAAAAACTCATAAATACGGTTTGTTTTTAAATAACAGTCTCTTGTTCATTTAACTGTACCCTTAAAAGATGCTATAGAATAAATAGAATAATTATTTTACTTTACATTGTTTTGTATTACAATAGAACACCAGTTTAGGAAAATAAAAAAAGTGTTTTGTAAGCCTAACTCAGATATGACATGGGTGCAGCGCTATAGATATACGTAAGCCTTGTATCTGAAAATGCCTCCATTACTCGTTACAAGTCACAAATTCCAATAGCCTACTACTTGAATAAAAATGCCAGGTTTTACAGACAAGGTTTAAGCCTAGCCCTAGACTAAAATGCTTCTTTGAGCGACTTGCCCTGACTATAGACTGTAAGGCCCTGACATACGCACTAGTCCTCAACATCGTAGATAGACCTTATGTAGCCCCGCCCCTTTTCCGTGCTGCGCTCGTTGTCTTTTGACTTCCGGTCTATTTCACAGCGATCTTGCACAGGTATGAATGAACTGCTCGTAAAAACATTTCCCGGTCGACAAATGTTTAGACATCTGCTTTATAATGCTTATGATAAACATTACAATGCTCGTGATAACTTTTGTTAACTCTACAATAAGTAAATCCACTCCACCAGCTAATTACTCCTCGACAGCGATGCCATAGCGATGCCATCAAGGTCGACACAACAGCCTCTTAAAGGGATAGGCTACTCCCCCCAAAAATGAAAATTCTGTCATCATTACAAGAGGTAAAAACAATATAAATACTCTTCGTTTTCTCACACAAACCGCTCGGCCATAATGTGTACATTTACGAGTCATTAAATCATATTTAATTTGGACTTCTCTGCATGCTGCTCTTTGCATGTGGACCCCAGTCTCCATTACATTGACTGATAGACAACAACTGTTTGACCTAAAAATATCAAAATTGAAAATACTGTGGAAACAAAGACACCTACATCTTAAATGCCCTTGAGGTAAGCCAAAACACACAAATTAATTTCAAAGTGAACTATTCCTTTAACACTCTGATTGTTTTCCAGCATCTTCTAGAAAAACATGCAGTCCCTGGTCCTCTAATTGGGTAGGTGGCGTTGTCACTAATAACCTAAGGTCCCAGAAATGCGTAATTGTTCATCATAAATGTACTGGAGTAAAGATGAGTACATACTTATTCAAAAATCTTGTCAAGATAGTAAAGGTTGCTACTATCTTTGATACTCAGTCAAAATACAAAGTAGCCAAAAAGATACTAAAGTAAATAATGACATTTACTCAAATACTTTACACCACTGTTGTAATGTAAATTTCCAAACTCACCAATGTATACAGTGGTGAGTTGAAGAGCATCAGTTAGTATCGTCATGGATAAAGTTCTTCGAATTTGACATGATCATAATAAGTGATTTACTGGCCAGCAAAAACAAGTGCTTCTAGGGTTATTGCATACGTTTACATTGATACAGACATTGTGCAAATCATTTGCTAATCATATAACAACTATATAGTTTAGCTGCACTTGGCTTTATGAAGATGGTGGTCAATATGTACACAATCATTGGATGACACATGTCATGGCTAATCTGAATAAGTGGATAATCGATGAGCTTAATGAATAACTCAATAGGACGTCAGGGGGGCTTGTAAAGATGAACAAGATCTCTCTCATGGTCATACCTTTCACATCATCAGTCAACATACATGTTGATGTACAGTTACGCTCTTGAATGAAGAAATCACCTATGGAAATTTGACACTAGCACATATTGAATGTGGTGAGTAACTATTGCTTCATTTTGCTTACATTCTGTTATATCTAAATCTTGTTTTGCCTTCAAGAATTACTGAATAATTGATATTTGTAAATGATATATATATATATATATATATATATATGTGTGTGTGTGTGTGTGTGTGTGTGTGTGTGTGTGTGTGTGAGTGTGTATGCCTATCTCATTGTAATACGTTCAATAAATGATAAATGGTTTGTATGGAAAATGCTGACAAAACACTTTTAGACCGTTTGCAGTGTAGTTTGTCTTAGAAATAAACAATTTTCTGCTTCCTTGTTTTATCTTTATGTGTAATTTTATTTTATTTAACTCACCTCAGTCAGGCGGAGAATGGAAAAACGCAGTGAACAGGTCAAGACTTTATTCATCGTCCTCATTCTATCTATAATAACATTGAACAATGGAGGTATTATTGTTGTGCAATATATTTTAACATTCAGAATTTTGTTATGTTTTGTTGTTTTGTTATGATTTACATAATTTCGTTTTACACCTGAGGTTCAGTCAAATGTGACAGTTTGTGGGGGAAGCAGTTGGATTTCATGCAGAAGGACTGTAACTACTGGCTGCTGAAAAAGGAGCACAAAATCCCTGAACTGAAAGAGCTCAGTGTGTGTGTGAACATAAAGAGGAAGATCAGCAACTCGCACTGGACCGCATTCACGTACCTGCACCCGGATAAGACACGCATAGAGCTAGGCATGAAGGGCTCTGGATCAGATCTATATATCATAATGTTTGGAAGAGTCTGGATCAAATCTTCAGTGGTGTCCTTGGGTAACTGGCATTCAGTTTGCATGACCTGGTCCAATTCTATGGCTGAGCCAAAAGTCTATGTCAATGGATCCAAGGTGGACTTAAAGGCACAGTCTAAAGAAACGGCTCTCGACCCTGAGTACCAAAGTGTGGCCGCAGGTGGCACTTTGACTTTAGCTGTGGCCCACAATTTTTCGAATGGTGAGATGAACATTGAAACGGGAAAAGAACTGCAGGGAAGTTTAAGTATGTTCAGGGTGTGGAAACATGAACGCAGCGCTGAGGACATTTCAGGGTTGAACTGCACTGATGGGGATGTTCTGCATTGGGAGGAACAAATCTGGGCCAATGTCATGAATTGCAAGCCTATACTAGACATTACTCAGAAGTGTGGTAAGTGATAAAAATGCACACACCAAATTTGTTATTGATAGGACATATGTGGCACTTTTAATTATTTGCTTGAATAAGCGGGATAATGCCAGGCTGATGAGTGAGCTTTTCACTAACTATTTTAGTAATTACCTAAACGTTCTGGCAATATTCTCTTTAGGTTATTTAAAGGAGTAGTTCACTTTAAAAAAAACTTTTGCTGATAATTTACTCACCCCCATGTCATCCAAGATGTCCATATCTTTCTTTCTTCAGTCGAAAAGAATTTAAGGTTTTTGATGAAAACATTCCAGGATTTTCTTCATATAATGGACTTCAATGGGAACCAAACGGTTCAAGGTCCAAATGAGAGTTTCAGTGCAGCTTCAAGGGCCTTTAAACGACACCAGACGATGAATAAGGGTCTTATCTAGCGAAATGATCGCTCATTTCAAAAATAAATAACAAAGTTTAAGTTTTATAAGCACAAATGCTCTCCTTGGTCTGATCTGTGATGCGCGTTCGTGACTCTCCTGTTCGAACTCGTTCATCAAAATGAACAAATATTTTTTCGAGTCATTTGGTTCATTCAACGAACAAAATGAACGAAATGACGAATTAGTTCATTTCATTTTGACTCATTCATCAAAATGAACAAATCTTTTTTCGAGTAATTTGGTTCATTCAATGAACAAAATGAACGTAATGACGAATTAGTTCATTTCATTTTGACTCGTTCATCAAAATGAACAAATCTTTTTTCGAGTCATTTAGTTAATTCAATGAGCAAAATTAACGAAATAACGAATTAGTTCATTTCATTTTGACTCGTTCATCAAAATGAACAAATCTTTTTTCGAGTCATTTGGTTCATTCAACGAACAAAATTAATGAAATGACAAATTAGTTGATTTCATTTTGACTCATTCATCAAAATGAACAAATCTTTTATTGAGTCATTTAGTTCAATCAATGAACAAATTGACGAATTAGTTAATTTCATTTTTGACTCGTTCATCAAAATGAACAAAACTTTTTTCGAGTCATTTGGTTCATTCAACAAACAAAATAAACGAAATGACAAATTAGTTGATTACATTTTGAATCGTTCATCAAAATGAACAAATCTATTTTCGAGTCATTTCGTTCATTTAATTCGTTGAATTAACCAAAAGACTTGGAAAAAAGGTTTGTTCATTAATTTTGATGAACAAGTTTGAACAGGAGAGTCACAAACACTCATCACAGAACAGAGCAAGGCGAACATTTGTGCTTATAAAACTAAAACTTTTTTTATTTATTTTTGAAACGACCGATCGTTTCGCTAGATAAGACGCTTATTCATCGTTTCTCGTTGTTCATCGCTTATTCATCGCTTAAGTCCATTATTAAAATCTTAATTTCTTTTTGACTGAAGAAATAAATACATGGACATCTTGGATGACATGGAGGTGAGTAAATTATCAGCAAAACCTTTTTTAAAAGTGAACTACTCCTTTAAAGAGAATGTACAGAGTCTTATTTGGTTTACCAAAAAAAAAGAAGAAGACCATTCTGTGTTTTCCTGGGGACACGTTTGAACGGTTGTGTATTACTAAATCAACAGTCTAGTTTGTGTAAAATGAGAAATTGGAATAATATTGCTTGCTTGCATGTCTCTCTGCTACTTTTATGATAGTTTTATATTAAGCAATATATTATCAAATATAATAGGGCCAAAAAATATATTTTTGCTTCCAATGTTTTCAAAAATAGAGTTCCCTATTTATGAAAAGTGCTAGTATGAATTGGCTGAAGTTATTGAATTATCTCTATTTAAACAAAAATAAATTATGTTTGCTAAATTGTGTCCCATTCAATATGTATTGTAGTATATGCCATGCCACTTTTATTGGTCTTTTTATGTCTCACACAATTTCCTTGTTTCAGACTGGCGTTATTATGAAGTAAAATTGGTGTTTATCATCCGTCG